ACCAAGAGCGATGAGAAGTCGAGCTCACCCCTGTAACTCCTTCTCATTTTGTCCCATCATTATGGGCGTGTTCGAACTATTTCAGCCCAGAACATCTATCTGTACACCACACATTTTTTACGTTGCAAATAGGGTACTCAAAAGGCTTACGCCTATTTCCCTCAATAAACTGAACTGAACTGAACCATAATCAATCTACGACCATCGGGTTTTACATAAATCATTGGAGGCATTCCCAAAACATGTCATAGTCTTCACAGGAGCACGTGAATTTGGAAGTCATAATTTCTTGAATTTATACCTATAAATTAGTTTATGAGCCAGTCACCGTCCTTGGGACTATCTTTTTGTGCGGCGCATCTTGGACATCGTCAGTAACCATGCTGAACTATCATATGTAAAATCTGAATCATGGGCGGAAAGCAAACGTTTCGTCAAAAGACCTCGGCATGATAAAGGAGACCTCATTATTGCGGAAAACGCGTCCACACGATTGTAACATAAACGTACATGCAAGAAAGTGCTGAAGTAGCCGCATCGCACTAAACTTACTAGACTTACTACCACCTACATGTTAAAACTTATAATGAACCGCTTAGGGTACCAAGACCTCCGAAAGCTTAATATAGGTGGATTTGTCTATTAGTCAGTATATTTTAGTATATATAAGGGGGATTGGAGGAGGCTTGAAAACACTTTTTACAGATAAACGGGTGGAAAACATGGGTATATGTACATAAAAGTCATGTTAATCGCTGACATTGGGTAAATATTCGGCATTTAAACATACTTCAGTGTGTTTAAGGGTAAAAGGCAGAGTCTTTGAAGTCCGTCAAAAACTGAACATATAATACTTGAAGTTGAACAAGGGCGTTACTACAAAATACTGTTCTTGAAAATGCTGGACTGAAGCCCGAGAACACTCCGTTGTGGACGATAATGATAAAGGGAAATAACAATCATCGGTATTAGCGGTAGGTGTGTGCAAAGAGTTGGTGTGATATAACAGAGCTGTTCTGTCCAGTTGAGCGGCTATTTACAATCAAATATACATCGCGTCTTGGTTTGAATGTCTCTCTGATGTCCGCCATAATCACTTTCTCTGGAGACCTGTTCCAGGCACCGACTACTCGCTGTGAAAACGAGTGCTTGTGAACATCCAGGCTGGATCGAGTTCTTCGAATTTTGAGGGAGTTCCCACACAGGTCTGTTGTAGTGGCCAAAGCGAAGAAGTCGTCAAAGTGCAGGGCACAGTCCCAATTCCCCAAAATCTGGTACGTTTGTATGGGGCCTCCACGGACCTGCCTGTACTGAAGATAAAATATGTTAAGCTCATCAAATCTGAAGGCGTAGGATAAAGTTCTGAAAACTTTTCCAATCTTGGTCGTCCTCATGTGAACTCTTTTTAGCAACTGGTATATTTTTTTAGACAGGGGCGCCACCCTTGAATCCCTTACTTCAACTGCGAACGACTAAAGGCTCCGTACACTTTTCCAAATAACTCTTTTTCTATAACTACGAAGGTTCTTTTAATGGCTAAGCGAACACCGGCTGCTCTTTTGACCGCCCGACGCTTTGATTGGAGGGCTCAACAGAAGACCAGATGTTGATCTCAAAGTTTTTAGTCGACTGCATTTGAAAGGCACCTTCCTTCAGGGAGGTATTGATTATCATCTCCACTTACTCTCTCTTTCGTTTTGAGTCGCAGTACGACCCGCCTACCAAGGTTACACTAATAATAATAATAATGATAATAATAATAATAGCAATTATTATTATTTATTTAATGCCAGTTTACAGGCATTGTCAGGGAAGCGTAAAACACAAATCCGGCCATCGGTGAAAAAAGTTCCTATGGGAAAGGAATAAAAATATAGTTGATGATGGTTTTTATGGTTTGGAGGGCTCAGGAGAAAAAACTGCTGGCGGCACACATTCGACCGTCAAGAAGGGGGGGGGGGGAGTTGGGGTTGCAGGGTATCGGATATTATCGGACGACAATTCTTTTCATGAAGTTGGGGATAGACAAAGTAGAGGCGTTGAGGAACATCTATCGCTGTTGGCCAACGAAATTGTCCCTGGTGAGACCGGTGAGACCACAAACGTCATCGCTACGGTAATGTCGATCGGTGGATTCAGCACCCAAAATTTGTGGGAGCTTTTCTGAATGCAAAAATCGAGTAAAAGTTCTCTTAACTAAAGGATAATTTTGCAGATTTTTCATATTCATGGGTAGTTTATTCCAAATAGAAATTGCATTTATAGAATAAAACCGACGATATTTAACATAACGTGCTGGAGTAAGAAATAAAAAGACCTCACGGTGACTGTTACGTCGTGGGTGGACATGGTGTCTTTATGAGGTGAGTGGGTTAAATGTGTGATTATATAAGAGTTTAAATAACAAAAATAGTCCCTTTTGTAATCTACGGAACCATAAAGGATCAAGGCCTGTAAGCCGGCAACGTACTTGGTAAGACAAATGTGGGTGTTCCGGGGTTAAAATTCTCTTGGTAAAAAAGTGTTGAACGGATTCTATTTTCTTCCGCTCAGTAGCACGCATGAGGCTAAATAAAAACGAACGGTATTCCAGGCCAGGTCTAACGTACATGTTGAAAAGGCGCATTCAGGAGAAAAAAACTGCTGGCGAGAAACTTTTGACTGTTAAGAAAGGAGGGGCTGCACGGTATAGGATAATATCAGTCGCCGATTTCTTTCATGATGTTGGGGCTAGTCCAAACAGAAGTGCCGAAGAAATTTTCCCTCGTGAAACCGGCCATAGTGGCCAGAGACCACAAACGCCATCGCTACGGTACAGTCGATCAGAGGTTTGAGCATCCAATAGTTGTGGGAGCTTCCAGTCCTCGGTGACGTTCCCCGAAAAGACTGTAGTGAACAGCCATAATGACAACTTCGCGTCTCTCGCCGCCGCCTGCACCTACGCCCCAGCGGCAGCCTGTTTCGGCCTGCATGTCTGCCCGGCTTCGATTTGTCTCGTTGGAATTCACTGTCTGCACCACGCATCTGGTCGATTCTCCGCCTGCACCATGCGAGGTTTGTCACTACCCTCGCACGGGTTCGGAGCCAATCAACGCAACTCCTCCCGCCGGTTGGTTAAATCGGCGGACACAGTCCAGACCGCTGCGTAAACAATCCTCCACGACAATTTTGCAGCGCGACCTTCGACGAAACACGGCTTGTCGGTCTCGTGGACGCCGCCTCCGTGGCGCCGGACGCATCCTCGTCCAGTTGCCAACTTTCCTTATTACATCGTCCGGAATAAACTTTCCTTTCAAATGGCGTCCCACTTCTCCATACACGTTGGGATATGGCCTAAATTGCTAGCGCACTGGGCACTGACTCACCGCCTAGCCGCTACAAGAGAACATCCCAGTCTATTTGCAATTTCTCAGCGTCCACTTGACAAAAGTTCCTCTGTCATATATTTGGTATCGTCTCGTTTGTTACATACGATGCAGAGCATAGTTCGTACTCCCATATGTATTGCATGATCTCTTCGACCGAACGGAGGTAAGCAGTATACGTCGTCTATACTATCTGGGTCGTTAATAAAGACAATTTAAATGTTGCTCTCAGAGCACTCTGGTTTGAGAGAGAATATCCTGTGCGAGAAGAGCTTTAAGTGATCGATTCAGAAGGCGGCGATCGAAAGTATACTTCAAGCATTTTGCATGCATATCGTTCAATTGAACGCAGGGCGTATTAAAGTCCCCCTTACGAACAACGTCCAATCGACTGCTGATCTCTTTTATATACCCTAGTAAACAAGTATCTGCGCCAGGCCCCGTCCGTGGTGACCGGCACGGAGCTACAAATTCGAGGTGCTACAAAGCCCGTGTCTTTATGGTCTGCCAAATGGCCTCTGTGTCGTCGGCAAACTTGTCGGTCCTCTCACACACTGTTAAGTTGCTTTTTGGATACAGGGCGAATCCTCCGCCCTCACTCTTTCTCCTGTCCTTCCTTAACAGTCATCATTCTGATTTTGCTGCCTCGTAATCATTGGAGCTCTGTGACAGCCACGTCTCTGTTGTTACTATGACATCTGGAGACGTGTCCGATACTTGTACTCTCAGTTCAACGAGCTTGAAAAACAGACACTGTGCGTCGGTTTACACGAGTTTAAGTTTACAACATTCGACGACGCATAGTTTGGTTTGTCTCCAGCTGTCCAGTACTACGTTGTCGTCGATATCATGAGCACTGGCTGGTTCCAGTGCAACACTGCGTTCCTCTGTATCACTCGCCCCCTGAATTAGGTCAGATGATTTCCTCCAGCTGCAAGTCTCCCCTTCCGTTAATTCATTAATTTGCGGCATCTTAGACGTTTAGCCCGTATGAAAACCAGCTGAAAAAGCCTCCATGAGATAATTTTGGGACCTTTTTTCCTGGGCAGAAGCAAATCAGCCTCTTCTTTACCATCCAAAACAATTCTAAAAGTCTTTGGTCGCAGAGTTTCTGATGGTTCGCTTACCTTTTTTCCGATTGTGAAGGCTGCTCAAATGAATACATTTTCACTCGAATTAAGCATATTGTCCAGCAGGTATTGAAACCCATAAAGGTCAGCAGAAATCCTCTCCTTAGGACTAGGAGTATTTGACTCCGATAAGCCGTGGGCCACTACACAATGCCGACAATCAGGGAGTTTCTTGATCTGGTTTCGGCCTCATTGTCGGCTGAAGGTCCCGAAAGACCTATCGGAGTCGATCTGGGCTTCATTCTTCTGTTGTCTTGTTTAACGAGTCCACCTTGTCACGAGTTATTTCTTAACTAACAGCTAAAGACTCGACTGAACACACTGAATGCCCGTAAGATGTTCAGTTCAGTTTTTTGGCGGAATTAGGCGTGAGCCTCTGAGTATCCTACGTACAACGTAAAACTAGTCATGGTTTACAGAGAGAATACCTGGGCTGAAAGAATTCAAACGAGCCTATAATAGCATGACGAAATGGGAATGATTCATAGGGGAGGAGCTCGATCTCTCATCGCTCTTGGTCATTTTGGAACAGAAGTATGTCAGGGTTCTTTTTAAAACTTTGAATCAACGGCTACATTACAACAACTGCAGGAAATGCATTTCATGGTTTGTCCAATGTGACAGAGACGGAGAGCTTCCGCTCATCCACCCCTGCCTGCTGAATGCACAGTTTTAACGGGTGACTTCGGAGGTTGAACATAGTAGGGAGTTTAAAAGTCCTCAGATATCGGGATGTAGTACGGCTTCCTCACTATACGGAATACTTGCAATAGGTCCCCGCGAAGTTGTCTATATCTCAAGGAAAGAGGTTTAGACTTGTCAGGAAAGAAGCTTGGACTCCAGCCATCTTCGTGGCTCTCTTCAGAACTCTTTTTAGGCAGTTATGACGTTGAACCGCTGCACTACCCAAAAGGCGGTCTCTCGTGATGGCGGATCGGGCTGTGTTGCTCTGTCGAAGTATGCAACACTTGAGAACGTTGGACCGCAGGAGCCAACTTTTTGACCACTTCTCCAACCGATTAAGGTTCATCTACAGTCTGTTTTCGCCAGCGGAGCCCCGAATTACACTCCATACCTTCTTGTTGTTGGCAAACATTGCAGTTTCGCAATCCTAAGCTTCTGTTCAATCGTCTACGAGCATTAGGAACAAAATCAGTCCCAGCACTGAACTCTTGGAGAACGCCACTCTCGACCACAGCAGGATCTTATTTTCCTAAGCCGATGCACTCAACCCGCTGTCAACCGATCTCAGAAACACACACAAACAGGTTTTTTTTCAACCGGACTATTTACCAGCGGAACGGTTGAAACGCCGGGAACTTGTCTTGGAGTTAAAATCAAGACTGAAGGATGGCGAACACAATCTGGCTATCTTCAAGGGGAAGGTAGTTCGGAAATATATGCCGTTTCAGTGGAACCAGCCTGTAATACTACGAACGACGACAGATACTCAGCTAAAACAGACACCTTCGTTGAACCACCTGATCAAGGCGCCAACACAAGTGAGCCCGTAGCGTCCAGTGATCTGACTGAAACAAGGCATGTAAATGGAATCAATCAGGTAACGGAAGAGCCTAGAGAACACGACGTCCGCGATAACGGAGTAATGCTCACAGCAGTAACAAATGCAACGGGAAATTCGGCTGGTGCTAAACTGAGGTGCTTGTACACGAATGCCCAAAGCCTCATATCGAAACTAGACGAACTAAAACTTTGCCTTGCCGGGCTGTCTCCAGATGTTTTAGCAGTAACTGAGACCTAGCTGTCCGGGAATATTAGCGATAACGAAGTAGCCTTGCCTGGATACCAAATTTATCGGAGAGACAGGGAACATCGTCAGGGTGGTGGTATCGTTGTGTATGTGAATGACGGTCTGGCAGTGTCGGATAACACCACCAAGTTTGCGTGCAGTACGGAAGCTATCTGGTTGACCATCAAGGCTATCAGCTCCCCGTGTCTCGATGTCCTCACTGTCTACCGACCACCTCGGACAGACAATATCGCCGACACTCAACTATTGGAGCAGTTGGAGAAATTTTCCAGTCGACCTAACATCATGATCATGGGCGACTTCAACGCACCAGGAACAAACTGGAATACCCTCCAAACGTCAGGTCCAAAATCGGCATTCGATTACCGCCTGTTGAGCAAAACATTAAATGCGTGCCTCACACAACATGTAATGTTCCCAACGAGAACACGTGAAGGACAAAGGGCAAACTGCCTGGATCTGGTCTTTACGAAAACACCAGACAGCATAGACGAGATCGCCTCCATGCCGCCCCTTGGCCGAAGTGACCACGTAGTGCTTATGTGGGATTATTCGTTATTCTCCATTTCACATACTCCAGACCACAAAAGGCGTCATGTTTGGCGGGGCGACTTCAATCAGATGAGGGCAGACTTATCCGGTCTTGACTGGGGCTCATTGTTTACGGGAAGTGCCAACGATGACTGGGAGCTGTTCAAGAATGTCCTTCTGCAGCTCATCAACAACCACTGCCCACTGACTAGTGTAAGACTGAACAAACGCCCTGGGTGGCTAAGTAGCAACCTCAAGAAAGAAATCAACAGGAAGCACAAATTGTGGAGAAAATACTGCGTCACTAGACAAGCTGAATGCTTCAACACCTACAAGATATAGAGGAACAAACTGAGGAAGCTAATAATGCAGACGCGGCGGGAATTCGAGAAGAACTTGCTACAAAAAGCAACACAGAATCCAAAATTGCTCTACAGCTACTTCCGACGAACTACAAGTAACAGGCATCAAATCCCCTTGATAAAGACTACTGATGGCGTTGAGATCGCTGATAGTAGGGATAAAGCTGCGTATTTTTCACGGTTTTTCCAATCAGTCTACACAAACGAGGCAAGGTTCCTTCCTCCTTCCACAGAGGAACTGCCGACTCCAAGCGTCAGTGATATACTCTTCTCAGAAGGCAGTGTCCGAAGAGAATTAGAGGCATTGAACGAATCGAAGTCGCCAGGACCAGACGAGATTCCACCCAAGCTTCTGAAGGAACTTGCCAGTGAGCTCTCTGTGCCTTTGTCGATGCTCTTTCAAACGTCAATTGACACTGGAACACTTCCTGTCGATTGGAAGCTGGCGCATATTACTCCGCTACACAAAGGAGGTAACAGGGCAGCGAGGACAAATTACCGCCCATAAGCTTGACATGCATTCTCTGCAAAGTTATGGAAAGGATCATAAAGACTGAACTGATGCAATGCCTGGAAGTTCACGGCCTGCTATCGAAATGCCAACATGGGTTCCGAAAAGGAAGATCCTGCACGACAAACCTGCTGCAATCTCTCCAGAGCTGGACCCGAGCTCTCGACGACAGGCACGCGGTCCACATAGCCTTCATCGACTTCCAGGAGGCTTTCGACACTGTGCCACACCAAAGGCTCTTACATAAGCTGAACCAGATAGGGATCGGTGGCAACTTCCTTAAATGGATCGAAAACTTCCTTGAGGGTCGACACCAGATTGTGTGCGTCGGTCTCGGAAAATCAGATCCGGCTATGGTCGATAGTGGTGTCCCCAAGGGTTCAGTTCTGGGACCCATTTTGTTCCTTGTCTACGTGGACGATGCCGCAAGAGATTTAGACTGTGAAGTAGCAATGTTTGCGGATGACATGAAGATACGGAATGTAATTCGGGGTCCTGCCGATGAAGACAGACTGCAGATGAACCTGAATCGGTTGGAGGAGTGGTCAAACCGTTGGCTCCTGCGGTTCAACGTTGCCAAATGTAGCATACTTCGCCTAGGCAACACAGCCAGATCCGCCAGCATAAGAGGCTTCTTTCTGGGCGGTGCAGCCCTACAAGAGGTCGAACCCCAAAAGGACCTCGGTGTGCTTACGACGAGTTCCCTAAAACCATCCGCCCACTGTTCGAGAGTGGCAAAAAGCGCAATGTCCGTACTGTACGCCATCAAGCGTGCGTTTATGGACTTTGACGAAGAAGCTTTCTCTAAGACATTCGGAACATTCGTCCGGCCGCATTTAGAGTACGGCATACAAGCTTGGAGGCCGTGGGCTGTTGTGGATCAAAACTGCCTCGAAAAAGTCCAGAGGAGAGCCACGAAGATGGTTAGGGGTCAAAGCTCCTTTCATTATGCAACACGCCTAGTAAATCTGAACCTCTTTCCTTTGAGTTACAGGCAACTTCGCGGGGATCTCTTGCAAGCCTTCCGCATTGTAAAGGGGTTGGATTGCAGTCTGGCCTTCGAGGACTTTTTCGAATTTGCTACCACGACCAACCTCCGAGGTCACCCGTTAAAACTGTGCACTCAGCAGGCACGGCTGGATGTGCGGAAGTTCTCCTTCTCGGTTCGGGTGGTCAAACCATGGAATGAGCTTCCCGCAGATGTTGTGATGTCACCATCTATACAAAGTTTTAAGAAGAATCTGGACATATTTATGTTCCGAAATGACCAAGAGCGATGAAAAGTGGAGCTCACCCCCTGTAACTCCTTCTAAATTTGTCCCACCATTATGGGCGTGTTCGAACTATTTCAGCCCAGAACATCTATCTGTACACCACACATTTTTTACGTTGCAAATAGGGTGCTCAAAGGCTTACGCCTATTTCCCTCAATAAACTGAACTGAACTGAACCCTCAAGGAAGTGTTCGGTCCATTTGATCCCTATGTTTGCAGCTTGTATAACAGCCTCCGAGGTGGGACAGTGTTCAACGCTTTCTGGAAGTAAACGAAAACTATGTAGACCGCGTGCCTGTTGTCGACAGGTCTGGTCCGGTTCTGGAGAGATCGCGGCATTTTTGCCGTGCAGCATCTTCCTGCTCGGAACTCATATTGGTAATTCGATAGCAAGTCCTCACTCTCCAGAAATTTCATCAATTTACCCTTCATGCTCCCCTTCATTACTTCGCTTTGAATGCACGTCAACCTTATGGGCCTGTAATTTGTCATCGAGGCCTTGCTACCTCCTTTCGATAGCAAAGTTGTATGCACCAGCTTCCAGTCGATGGGGAGTGTGGCAGTATTATATGACGGCTGAAAGAGCATCGGCAAAGGCACAGAAAGCCCACTGGCAAGTTCCTTGAGAAGCTTGGGTGGAATCTCATCCGGTCCTGGAGACCTTGATTTGTTTAAGGCCTCTAATTTTCTTCGGACACTACCTTCTGAGAAGAGCATATTACTTATACTGAAAGTCGGCAGTTCTTCTGTGGAGTGAGGAAGGTGCCTTGCCTATTTTGTGTAGAACGATTGGAAAAACTGTGAAAACTGCGCAGCTTTATCCCTGATATCAGCAATCTCATAGTGATTTGATGTCTGTTCCTTGTACTTCGTCTGAAGTGGCTGTAGAGTACCTTTTAGGTCTGTGTTACTTTTCGTAGCAAGTTCTCCCCGACTTTCCGACATGTCTTTATTATCATGCTTCTCAGTTTGTTTCTCTGTGTCTCGTAGGTGTTGAAATACTCAACTTGCCCAGTGACGCAATATTTTTGAAACAATTAATGCTTTCTGTAAATTCTTTTCTTTAGGTTGCTATTTACTCACCCAGACCGCCTGTTCTGTTTTGCATTCTTCGGTGTGCAGTGATTGCTGATGAACTGCAGAAAGACATTCTTGAACAATTCCCAGTCATCGATGGCAGTACCAGTAAATATTGAGCTAAAACCTAGTCCGCATAAGGCTGCCCTTATCCGATTGGAGTCGACCGTCAAATTCTGCGGCATTTTTGGGTCTGGAGTATGCAAAATGAAAAATAACGAAGAATTCCACATTAGCGCTTCATAGTCACTTTGGGCGAGGCCGGCATGAAGATGATCTTGTCTATGCTGTCGGATCTTATCCTAAAAACCAAATCCACGCAGTTTACCCTTTGTCTTTTACGTGTTCTCTTTTGGAAACACTACATGTTGTATGAGGAACTCTTTTAATGTTTTGTTTAACAAACCGTAGTCGAATGCCGATTTTGGACCTGACGCCTGGAGGTTGTTACAGTTTATTCCTGATGCGTTGAAGTCGCCCAAGATCATGATGTTAGGTCGACCGGACAGTTTTCATTACTGCTCAAAAGGTGATTGTCGGTGATTTGGTCTGCCCTGGGTGGTCGGAAGACAGTGAGAAAATGAAGACACGTGGAACCGGTAGCACTGATAATCAACCAAAAAGCTTCCGTGTTGCACGCAAACTTAATGATATTGACCGACACTGACAGGTCTTCCTTAACATGTACAAATATACCACCAACCTGAAGATGCTCCCTGACCCTCCGATAAGTTTGGTATCAAATCAAGGTTATTTCGCCCTCGCTAATATTCCCGGATAGCTAGGTTTTAGTTACTGCTAAAACATCCGGAGACAGTTCGGCAACCAAAAGTTTTAGCTCGTCACGTTTCAATATGACGTTTTGGGCATTTGTACACAAACACCTCGATTTTGCACCAGCCGAAATTCGGACTACATTACCGCGTTATCTCGGACGTCATTTTCGCCGGGTTCTTCCGTTACTTGACAGGTTTCATTAATGTTCGTGGCTTCGGTCAGAACACTGGCCCTTAAGGGCTTGGCTATGTTAGCGCCTCGAGCGGCTGATTCCCCGATGGCGTTTGTGTTAGCTGCATACCTGCCGTCATTCTAAGTACTTCTTGCTGGTCCCAACGAGACGGCATGCTTTTCCGAAATACTTTCCACTTGATGACAGCCAGTTTATGTTCTACAAACTTCAGTCTCTGTTTTGATTCATAGACAACTTCCGGGCATTCCAGCGTTCCGCTGGAGAGTAGTCCGGCTGAAAAAGCACTGTTTCTGTTTTTTAGGTCGGCTATTTTCGGAGAGAATTAATTTGCTTTGCTTTTAGTTGTCCTGCATAATTTTGAGAGGACGAGGGGGTAGTGCTGCTGTCCTGTATTTAGTCCTTTTTTATTCAGAATGTTTTCAGATCCTTTATTTCCATGCTTCCCTTGATCAATTGGTTCGGTAGACCATAAAAGAAGGCAAGATCCTCCGAGACACGAACCAGGACGATTAACGGAGCCCTCGCTTTGACGCACACTTCTACTACTGACTGACTGCCGAGGACAACCCATCAAGGTTGGTTGTGATTCCTGTTATGGCATCTTTCCATTTCCCCTACCCACGATTTCCTGTACTGACATTCAAAATGTGTTCTGTATGACACTCTGGGTGACTGAGTGAACAAGAGGGCGACGGTAGACTGGGTAACCTGGTTATATCGTTCATTGGTAAAAGAGAATTCCCCCACTTTCAGCAAGAGGAGTAGGCGAGATGGTTCCCGCAACAGGTAATATTTTTGTGACATCGTCTAAGTAATCTTGCGTGGAAATCAATTCTGTTCTTATTGGCGGGTTCGTCGTTGTTGTTCTGCTGCTACCGTTTGTGCTACCTGAGTTCCTACCCGTGCTTGAAGATGCCGTTGAGACGATATTTTCGCGCTTTTCGCGTTTTGCTCTTCATTTTTTGGACTCTAACAATGGCAAACTTCGAATCATCAAGGCTCGGCCGCATGAGCTTCGTAAAATCAACGAGCTCGCTTTCAAATTTTCTTATTTTGATTTGGATATATGCGCACCCATCACAGCTCATCCTCGTACCCTACATTTTGCGCGATAATTACCTTTTTGGCACGCTTTGCTGGTCGTTGGCTGGAAGCGCAGATATAGCAGGCGCAGATTCTGGATGTGAGAGACATCTTACTAAACTTATCTTCCAACAAGTGGCCGGCTCTGCTCGTACTACTACGTTTAAATTGCCAAGACTCTACAAACTTCGGGATGAGAGAATAGGTATATTCTGAGTGTATACTTCTGATTGTATATGGGGAACCGAGATGAATATTCAAAACCCAATGAGCGAGCGAAAATATATTTAAAATCTGCTAATCCGTGAAATTCATTCAAAAACGGTTTAACCGTTTACAAATCTCCCAGGACTTCCGATCTTGAGAGATTTCGGACGACTGTTTTTAGGCTATAAATAACCGCGAGTTGACCGCGTAGTCAGTTGAGCAGTGCTGATAAACAAATTATACTTGATTCAGTTTCATGACGAATCTGGAAAAGTGAAAAATAAAAAAATATTCCACAAATGCACGAAGTGATTCTGTACGTAAAGCTCCAATGTATCTGTGAAGTCTCAGGTGTTAAAAACGGAAGTAAATAAAAAGCGGAGTTATTGGCAGAAATTTCGCACTGATTAGAATCCTGTGTCCATAAACGCATACAAAGCAAAGAGGAACCTAGTAAAACAACTTAAGCGGACCAGTTGAATAGTGCTGTGGAAAATCGGAAATTATTCTACAGTTACATGAGATGCAGCACGCGAAACAGAGATTCTGTCCCCGCCTGAAGACAAGCGGAGACCTAGAGATAAGTATAGATGGGGCGACAGCTGACCGTCTTTCAAAATTTTTTAAACCTATCTATGCAAGTGAAAACCCATTTACTCCTCCCGAATACGACTTCGATGAGAGTCCAAAAATCGAGGCTCTATCTTTTGATGAGTCGACTTTTCGTCAAGAAATGATGACGCTAAATGAGATGAAATCCCCGGGTCCAGATGACCTACCACCTAGGTTATTGAAGGAACCCTCTAATTAACTAGCCAACCCACTGGCCATGCTTTTCTCAGCCTCACTCGAAGACGGCAGTTTACCCGCCGAATAGAAATTTTCGCGGATCACGCCGCTATATTAGGGTGGGAGCAAGGCCTCTGGAAATAATTGCAGACCACTTAGCCGCAGTTTCACCTGATGAAGAATTATGGAACACATAATAAAGCGAAAGTTAATATTATCTGATGCGCAGCATGAATTCCTTAGCGACAGGTCTTGCGTGACGAACTAGCTCAATTGTTTGGAACGTTGAACTCGGGCAGTTGATGAAGGCAATACGCTGTGTGTAGTCAATATGGACTTTAAAAAGGCATTTTATAGTGTCTTACACAAGTGACTACTGCACAAACTGAAATAAACAGATGTTATGGGTAATCTCTTAAAATGGATTTAAAGCTCCCAATTTGACCGTTCTTAAATTGTCCATATCGGTGGCCGGCAGTCGTCTGAGGTCGCCGATGAAAGCGGTGTTCCCCAGGGCTCAGTTTTTGCTTCTACTTTTTATTATTTATGTCAACGGCTGCGTTTGTGAACTGGATTGTGGTGTCACCATGTTCGCGGATGACATTCAAACTGCAGATGACGAAGAGCATTTGCAGGCGAACCTAAACGACTCCAACAGTGGTCAAAGGACTGTCTTTTGCCATTCAGTGAGAACAACTGCAATATTTTTCGAGTCGGCAGAACTAACTCTCTGAGCCCCATGGCTGTCTGACTGAATGTTATATCCCCACAAATAGTGGACTCGCAGAAGGACTTGGGAATATGGATTACGACCTCGCTCAAATGCTCGTTGCAGTGCATATAGATAGCCAAGTCGACAATGTCATTTTTCTGCCTCGTC